TATATTAAAATTAATTTATCATTTTGGATGCAAGTTTTTGAATGCAATTTTAATTATGAAATTAGGAATAAAGACTTAAGACTGAATTTTAATTTATTAATTCAACTAACATTAACTTTTATACAACTGTAAAATATTCTGTAGAAGGAGACAAACCGAAAAGTAAAATATATTTGTTATATTTGAGAAATTGAAATTCGATTGTTTGATAAATAGTTAGAATAGAATCTATTAGAGTTGCAAAATAAATGCAGGCAGAAGTAGAAATTAAGCGGAAAAACTAGATATTCATTAATAAATAAATCATTTATAAATAACATACAGTGAGTAACATTAATATTCGTTTTTTTTTTTTAATTTCAAACGCCAATAAAACATATAATATTAATCGAAATTAAAAAAGTGTAAATGCTAAATTGTAAATGGAAAAAATAGGGTATAATAACTTTTCCGATGAGCTATATATCAATATATTTAATATAATTAACATAGATCATACATGAACCGGAAAAAGTTAAAAAAAAAAAAAAAAAAAAAAAAAAAAAAAAAAAAAAACCAATATTACTCAGTGTTACTCAGTGTACATATATACTTATATAATAAAAAATTCTTCAAACTTTGTGAATAGAACATGTACTAGACCATATATTCTTCACTAGTCCAATAATGTATAGGCTATTCCTAAGATCATCTTCAACATAAATTAAAAGAAACTCCCTGAATTCGTCTATTTTTTCTTCCCTATATACAATATCTATACAAATCCACTAACTATCCATCTCTGTCCTGCAGGAAAAGTCCCGTTCAGTATTGAGAGACTGGTATGCGCACAATCCGTATCCATCGCCACGGGAGAAACGCGACTTGGCCGAGGCCACAGGACTGACCACGACACAGGTGAGTAGCGCCAGCGGGAGCAGCGCCAGGTAGCCAATTGAACAGTTGAGCATTCGCAATTTGTCAACTGTTAATTGCATGCCGTTAATCAGCTGGCAAAGAAAATGTATTTGAAAATTATGTATTCAGCTATTTATAGAGTTGGAGGACTATTTATACTGAATATGAATATATACATACATATTTATACATATATACATGTCAATATAGTTGTATGTGTGTATCTTTACAGGTTTCCAATTGGTTCAAGAATCGACGACAAAGAGATCGCGCGGCCGAGCATAAAGAGTAAGTTCTCTTACAAAATATAAATACATATATATAGATCTATAATAATATATATACATACATATATACAGTTATTYGGTTAAGCGTCAACGCGTGCGAAACGAATTGGTATTTCAATTTGAATTACTTGACGTTTACACACTTATGAAACAAGGCCAATTCGTGGCTGTTGATTGTGAATGGCTGTGGGTGGTGGTGGGGGGTGGCTGGGGCTAATTAGTGTCAAGGACACGTGTATAACTATGAATGATATGCATACATAACTTGCAAAGTATATACACTATATGCAGTATATTCATTATATTCATATTCATGATCATGAAAATGAAATTGAAAATCTGTCGGACAGAATTTTCATGATCAGATCTTTGTTTTCGTAGGCGCATTGTCATATGCCCGACAGCCGTTGGCTGCACTGGACAGCACTGACAACAAATGCAGTGTCCTTGCCAAAGGACAGCCAAATCAAACAAAAACAGAAACATCTGCATTTCCGCTTAAGCAAATAGCTGCAAGATTTGTGAAACTCTCTTCACTTTCGGCATGTTTCAGATGGCCGATAGGCAACTTTTCCAAATACTCAACATCCTTTCGAGCATCCTTTTGTTGACACACGGCGAGCATTCTCGCCCTCTTTCTCTAACTCTAGCGCTCCCTTTCTCCTTCCCACTCACGTCTGTGTGGAAGTCATGTGAAATGCAAACAGCGCCAAATGTGAATGGAATATGGAAAATGGATTTTAAAGTGGCCCTAAGAACAAAGGTCGAACTACATCAAGTTAATATCCTAAATACACATGCGTATATACACACACATGTACATATACATGTATATACCATTAGCTCTGCTTTAGTCTAAACGGCATATCACTTACTCAAAAGAACTTCAATTCACAACAAAAAATAAAAAAATAAAACAAAAAAATAAAAAACAAATGTAATTAAAACAAGTAAGAAAATTCTAGTCGAGAGTGCTCGACTAGATACTACCCTGAACCCAACAAATAAAAATGCTTTAGTATGGCTGAAATTTCAATTTCGATGTATTTAAAAATATAAATAAAATACCAAACTCATTTAATAAAATATAAAAATATTTTGAAACAATTAAAAAAAACTAACATCAGTTGCTTCGATCGGGATTCGAACCGCGACTTCTCGATCGAGCGTCATGCAGCTAACACACTAGGCCACCTCACTCCTGCTAGTGGCGCTGGCAAAACTCAAATAGATTCACTGCTGCAGCGCCATCTACCAAAACTAAACGAAACTAACTGCTGATGTGATTCTAAGAATCTGCTAGAATAACCGAACTATTAAAANCCCTGATCAAGAATATATATACTTTGTGGGGTCTGCCACGCCTCCTTCTGCCTGTTACATACATTTCAACAAAACCATTATACCCTGATTTCCCATTTTCAATGGGTTCAGGGTATAACAACAATAAAAACAACGAAAAATTGTCGCAATATATATTAAAAAAAAAAAATTGGCCGCCTTGGCAACCGCAACACACACTCACACTCACACTCMGTTACTGATATGCAGCTGACAAAAGTATCTCACAGATACTTTTGCATGCGCTTGATATAGTAGGCTGGCAATAGCTACGTTAGTTTTTGCACTACGTAGCGTCGCCGACGTCGCAGTCGTCGCCGTCGTCGTCATCGTCATCGTCCTCCTCACGTCTTTTTATTATATTATTCCTCATGCTACTACTACTGTTGTTGTTGTTGCTGGTAACCTGATATATGTTTATGGCTGCGCCGCATCGGGCAACAGCAGCAGCAGCAGCAACGGCAACGGCAACGGCAACTGAGCGCTGCTACTTTAACTTTTCATACMCTTCTCGTTGTTGTTGTTTTTGCTGTTTGTATTTTCAATGTGCAGTGAAGACTCGTCTGGAGGTACACACTCACAAACACACACACACACATACACCTATATCTATATATATATATAGCTATATATTTGCTCCATTGTAGTTGGCAGCTCTCAAAACCTTCCATCCAACCATAACGACGCCAAAGGCCTGAAAATTTCTCTAACTCTTTGAGCAGACCTCGTTGCAGTTGCATAGCACAGCCTCTTTAATTATTATCTACTTAAGCTCTTTCATTCAATCCAACAACATAACTTCATATAAACATTTAAAATATTTCATTTCAAAATGTATAAATGTATCATTTATATAGGAAAATCCTTTTTCATAAGGAACCCTTTTTTTGCCGCTAGTGTAAAATGATTTTTTAAGAATAATTGCTGAAAGTTTTCTAATTTATATCAGGACTGTTGTCAAGTTTATGGAACTGGTACATACATTCATCTTAAATATATAGTCTTTATAAGATGATATTCATATTAAGATAAAAATACAAATACATATATAATTTTATGTATGTATATATCATCAAAACGACCTAGACTAGATCAGCTATATAATAGGAAAGATATATAGAGAGATTATGCCAAGTGCCTATATAGATGTACGTATATCAAACTCTCATGAAAGTCTCTGAACTATCGAAAATGTTTAGCTATTCAAACGTGTTTAAAATAAGTTAATAATTAAAGTTCAGCATACCTAAAAATTGATTTATTGAAATATGTTTATAATAAGTTAAATAATAATAATTTCAAAATTTATAAGTTTATTACTTTTAAATTTGTTTATTTTTATTATTTATTTATTTTCTTAATCCTTTTCAACTTTACTGACAACATTTTACAGCCATTTAACATAATGTTTCCGTACGTAATTAATTAAAAACAGAAAAGGGAAAAACTTAAAAACAATGAGGAAATTCAATAAATACATAGCTAAAAACTAGATCAGAAACGTTTCGTGTGCCAGTTGAAACGAGAATATAAATATATATCAAATTTATTGTCCCAAATGTGTTTAAGTGCCGCCTCGTATCGCTCGTAAACTTCCGTAGATTGCCTCTCCTGGATGTCTTCTAGCCACCCGCCCCCGCCCACTTAGCCAAAGACAAAGCAGAGTGCCATGCGCATATAGTCGACGGTCGATGATATGGCCGTTATAATGACACGATATCGGTCTATATACATGGCTATGAACAGCAGATACTTCTTGTTGGTGACCTGGAATTTCCACAGATTGCTGGCGGCGCCAATCAGATCCCAGTTGGGCTGGAATTCCATATTGAAATGCTTTTCACCCACAAACTGGCACAAGCCATAGTAGAGGCCCATCACCATCAGCGGATAGAGGACGGGCAGCAGCATAAAGAAGAGCAGGACGCAGGTGTATATGCACTTGAGGAGCGTCGGAAAGGGCAACTGCTGCAGCCATATGTCGAACAGGTGCTCCAATAGAGGTTGCATATAGTAGACCAGGCGACCTGCCCATGATATATTTGACCACTGCAAGAAATGCGATGGGTGGGTTGGGTGGTTGGGTGCTTGGGTGCTTGGCTGTTGTTTTGTGTTTATCTTACGATTTTCCGCTTGTGCAGTGGCTTCTTCCAGGTCTTATGCATATTTACAGGCAATTTAGTATTTATATAAATTTATAATGTTTCACATTAAATAACAAAAAATTTAGAGTTTTTAACTGTTTATCTCAAATACTTTTTACAACAACAAATAATGCCTACCCTACTTCATAATTGACAAATTTACAATAACATGAAGCCGAAGAGAAACGAAGAGCCGCTGTGCATTTGTGGAACTCAATTGCATCTTATTTACTTGGCTTCCACCTTCGATCCTGTATCGCCTGTTGGAATTGTTTATAGTCCACACGCTCCACAGCAACAACAACAAAAGCACCAACAACAATGGACATGAACAGCAAGCACCAGCAGCAAATCGCGCGCGCAAAAAAGAAAAAGAAGCAGAAAGCATAAAAGAAAACAACAATAACAACAACATAAAAACTTTAAGAGACTACTTCAAATATGAGCAGCGTTCCAGTGTTCCAATACCAATCGCCCCGTTTCAGACACCGACCCGTTGCTGAATGTTCATTTCAGTGAGTGAATGAGTGTGTGTGTGTGCGTTTGCTTGTAACTGTGTGCATTAGTGTATGTTTGTGTGTCGATCTCTCGTTCAGCTCTGGGCTCATCGTTTTGCGTTTGAGTTCGTTCGCTCGTTCGTCGAATGCCACGGTTGGCTGGAGGGTAGCTGGAAAGAGTATCAAGTTACCACAAAATGTGCGTGTGTTCTTTATTCGTTCGCATCAGCGCCGTCGCCGTCGCCGTCGCCGACGTTGACGTTGACGTCGTCGCTGCGCGTTATTCATTTTTATTCGTTTTATTGTACATTCTGTTTTTATTATTATGTATTTTGCGCTTTTGCCCGTCTCTCTCTCTCTCTCTAGCTCGCTCTCTCGCTCTGCCTTTGTTTGCGCCTCTGCCGCTGCCAGCCCAGCCAATGCATACATGCATATATGAATACATATGTATGTATGTGTGCATTTGTATGTATGTATATTCTTATATGGGTCTGCGGCCCGTCCGTTCCCGTTTCTGGAGTTCCGTGACGCATTTGGGTTGAGTTGAGTTTTTGCCGCCGCCGATGGCGTTGATAATGATGTCGTTGGTGATGATGGACCGGTATGGAACTGAGACCTCAACCCATAGCGCTGTCAGCTCTGATCTGCTCTCTGCTCTGCCCCACTCTGACGGGGTGTTTCGGCATGTGGGGCTGCTCAATCGGGTGGGCGCTTGTGTCAAGTGATTTAGCGAACTATAATTAGAAAACTGAGCACCTTTCCAGTGCATCTTCCATCTTCCAGCATTCTCAATTCACTGCCGACAGACTGACACAAATTTCCTCAATGGGATTGCTTCAATTCCTAGGGCTTCACTTGGTTTCCCTTTTGTGGACTTCAAGTTGAAGTTCGCCTTTGCTTTTGCCTTTGCCATCGGTCGTAAATGCCGTAAGCTGCTTAAGTTCTTAAAAGAGTGTTAAGGCTTACATAAAAGTGGAGAAGTTCATTGGTCAAGTGGCAGTCCAACAATGACAATGCCAACTCAGGTGATAATCAATGAAAAATGAAGCTTAAGGCATCTATCAGTAATAGTTAAGAGACAATATATATAGAGTACTTTTTGTACTCTTATTCATATGCATTCTTATAGCACTCATATTTATATTCATTCACTTAGTAATCTATCCATCTATCTATCTATTCAAGTTCAAGATCGATTCATATCCACACATCAGCTGTTTCGTAATCTCAGGCGCAGAAAAACAGACGGTAGCGATAAACAGAGGGGCCTCAAGTTAGTTGGGATGGGGTTTCTGGAGGGGAGGGGGAAGCGATATATCGTATGGTGGTAGATCGTTGCAGGATTTCCAAGAAATTCCATTGCTAATAAAAATTATAAGTCAATAAATCGTAAAAACAAATAAACAGTCACACACACACACACACACGCACACTCACACCCGTAGCATAAGGTTGGGAAAAATGAAACGCTGTTTCGAAAAAAAATCTGAAGTCCAAGAGCTGAAGATCACGATCGATCGAAGTGCAAGCTAACCAGCAACCAAGAAGCCAAGCCAGCCCAGGCCGAGTCAAGTCAAGCAACGAATGAACAGGTTGAGTTATCGCATTGCGCGATCGGTACACAAATCCCGAGACGTGTGCGCAGCAGGACACCCAACTAAACGGTCAGCGTTCGCCTGGGTTGAGAGTTCCGAGTTCCACAAGAAGAATCTGAAAAGGTGTTGATCATAAATTATCATTTAATTTACGCATGTGTGTGGCGTGTTGTTGTTGTTGTTGCTGGTGTTGGCGCGAGGCCCAAGAGACAGACAGACAGAAAGACAGACCGACAGACTTGACACAGCTCGAACGCGAACCTCTCATCTAGCAGTAGTAGTAAAGTTGTACCCAAGCATTGTCCCATTGTCTACAACTATGTTTCGCTTTCAGTTTTTTAGTTTTTCGGTCTCGGTTTCGGTTTCGTGTTCAGTGCTCCCCTCCTCTCCCCCCACCCATACTTGTAGATCTCAACGATTAACCAAAAAGTCATCGTTCGCATCGTTATAAAATATTTTATCTTATTGCCTTTTGATTTTGGGCCCGGCTCGTCCCGGCCCCACTCACTCGAGTTGGCGTGTGGCGCATTTTATGCAGGCTGCGCTTTATTTTGACAGTTTTTCATAATTTTGTTGCTTTTTAATTGCCAAGCCACAAAAGATCAGAGTTTGATAAGGCTGCCGAGTCACTCGTAGTGTGTCTATTGTTGCTTTCGGAATAATGGCTTCAATGTCAATTCAGAATATACTAACTACACTAGCTATTCAGTGAAGCCAAGCCCATGTATTGAATTTGAAAGGATTTGAAAGCGAGATAGAAATTTGGTATTTTTTTGTTAACTTTTGATAAAGGATTTTTATAGCTCTAGATAATTTGTGTATACTTTTTCTTATATAAAAAGAAATAAAATATTATAATATATAATACTCAAATTATATTTTCTATAGTCACATTTTTTTACTAACTATATTTTCTTTCTTAGATATTAAAAAATTATTCGCTGTCTGCCTTAGAGAGAGACATTGAGTTGCACCTTAACTATAGAAAAAAAAAACTATAGAAAGAAAGGCCTTCGTAGTGATCTGTAGTGATTTGATCTATTCCAGCTTTCATTTACTCTAAGAGCTCTACTTGTAACGACAGCTTACAATTTCTTAGTCATGATCTCTCTCTCTCTCTCTCTCTCTCTCTCTCTCTCTCTCTCTCCCTCTCTCTCTCTCTCTCTCTTTAGTGTTCTCATCTACATTAGGCTGGATTTCTCATATTGCCATCTATGGCAGCCTTGATTTGTACCAGTTCTCCAAATTATCGTTGAATTATTATAATCAAAACTTGAGGAGAGCCGAGCGAGCGTGAAATCTTAGTTTGTAGTGTTACCCCACGTTTAACCTTTGGGTCTAGAAACTGCACTAAGAATCGCCTTAAATTTTGTTAATTTCCATGTTCAGCCAGATAAAATACAGACATAATTCTTAGTTTACTTGTAAATCCTAGCTCAAGGCCCATACCCATTTCGTTGAAATTGAAAGTTCTGCTTCCTCAATTGTTAGTTTTTCAGAGTACTTAGGCCCTCGTCTATTACAGTAAATTAGTAAATATAATAAATTATATTATTAATCATTGCAAAACTCTCAGCTAATTCTTTCAGGTAACGCCCTTATCTATGACACTCATCTATCCACTCTTTGGCTATGTTCATTTCGCATTCGCATTCGCAATTTTTTCGCTGTTCTCTCGAACAAAAGTTTCTGCTCAGGTCCAAGTCCCGCATAATCCGATCAGGCCGATTATTGCCAAGCTAATGAATCTGCTTAATGCAGCTCCAATAAGCAACAACAACAACAACGAGAACACAAACTTAAAGCTACAAAAAATCAATTGAGCAAACAAGTAAAAATTAATTCCTCATCACTGAGCAGTGCCCCCCCCAAAAAAAAAGAAGAAAAACCAAAAAGAGTCCAAGAACTCTTAGCTGGGACCACACACGCAGAGCCAAAGTCTTGACCAGGCTCTGATGAGGTTTTAACCTCTTTTGCATGTTGTTGTTGTTGTTGTTGTTGCTACAGTTTCTGTATTGTTGTTGTTGTTGTTGCTGTTGTCATATATTTTATATAAACTCTATGTGACATTCATGTATTGAGGGATTGTCCTTGGGGGCGCAGCTACCGCGAAGGCTGCTTACTTATAACTTGTGAGATCTTTGATGTTCTGGCATAGCCGACTGTGTAATACTCGTTTGGGCAGTAAAGAAAGTTAAAATTGTAGAAATTTGTTGAAATCATAAATTTAATAGAGGATTTATAAGGCTATACAGATGTGAAATATAAAATATGTACCAGATGTCAAGCCTTCTGGTACACCTATATACCATTTTCACTTGCTGAACAAGAAAAGTGATGACTAGTACTATGGAAAGTGAAGTTTATTCCAATAGGCGTATCAGAAGAACTCACAATCAAATATAAATTGAAATATATACCAACAAAACTTTAAAATTGTGAAATATGTAGATTATCCCAATAGTCATATAAGAAAACACATATACAAGTATATATAGTAATAATGTACATACAAACTTTAAAGTTTCTTAAGCACCCAATATACCCAGTTCACTTGAGGAACGAGTATATATCAGGGGTAAAAAAAAACTTGAATGTGTGTATATTTATTTTATAATGCAATCAGTTGAAAATACTCATCAGAGTATATAGGAATATGCCATTAAAGTAGGCGCTGTCTCAACCACCAACTCTGCCCTCCACTCTCTTTCTCTCTCTGTCTCTTTGTTTCTCTTTCGCTCTCTTTGTCTCTCTTCTTCTGGCCCTGTTAATAAGTGTTGCAGTAAGCGAGCAAAGCCAACAACTATGAAATTCTGGAAATTTGATATCATTGTTTATATGCTGCTGCCCTTTTGTTGTTTGCTCCCCACTTTTGCTCGGCTGACTGAACGACTGCCTGGCTGGCTGGCTGGCTGACTGGCTGGGCTAGGGCCACTGCCATGGCCAGGGCTGGGCATTTCTATCTCCACAAAATTTTAGCATTTCAGCCATTTCTCCGTATG